TGCTTATTGTTTTGTATACTTGAATATCTGTTAAAATTAATTCAGTGATAGTAAATTACAAAGGAAATATATAAAAGCTCCGTAGATAGATATGGTGAATCGCGGTGATATAATTTTCAAGATGCATTAGGAGTAAAAAAATTTCAAAGCTATTTGTCAATGTCTATAAACCGATTGCATGACTAATACCATTAATCAGCGCTTGGGAGAAAATTATAAATTTCACGCTGTGAATCGCAAATCTGATATTAGTACAGATTGCAATATCGATACGATTCGCTCGTAATAAACATTGGCTCGTAGCAACAATTTCGGCGCGATTACGGGCGTCGATCGTTAGATTTACTGTCGTTTACCCCTAATGTTGTGTGCGGCTCTCGCGCCGTTTCAGAAGCATAGCTCTCTAGATCAAATGACAGCTCGACATTTAATGCCAGTGACATAATCATTCATGCTTCGCGCAAACGACCTTGGAAAACAAACTCTCAGTTCTCCTGGTTCTCGGAGTCGTTGCTCGGATGGTGAACGCTTTTTCTTTCCTTTTCTTCTTTTTTTCCTGACTCGCGATCATCTACAATATACGGTCGCGATTTCTCTCTTGGCCTTAATAGCAAACTCACTTGATTCTTTCTCCTACCCTTTCTCCGGCGCGACAGCCGCACTTGCATTCAAGGTCTTTGCAAGGGAGAAAGGAATTCGCGTCTCGGGAAAATGTGAGCAGATTATTATTGGTAAATTAATTGCATATAATATCAATATATCAATTTATCGATTGATTATTATATGGAATATCTTATTTTCTATTTTTTTATGCTCTTTCATTAATTCAAAGCCAATTATTTTTATAAGAATGTTGGACAAAATAATTTACTGAAATTGTATTACCATTACAATGATCAACATTACATAATAAATAAGAAAGTGTTTATACTTTTTAAATACATCTTAACAATTTTGTGTGGAATAATTTTACGTAAAAAAAAAACAACAATTATTGTAAAGCCATTTCTTATAATATACATTATATCGCAGTATTTCATCATATTACATCTAAATTATGTTATATTGTGAATATATATGAAATGGTATAGAGATTAGACTAATATCAGCAAAGTTATTTTTTAGGATTTTTCTTTTTGTTTCTAACAATGTAGAAATATAGCTTTTGAAAATATCCTAAAGTCCACATTACCCAGACAGCACAAAGATGTCCTTAGGACGTCCAAAGGGCATCCAGATCTGCAATCATAATCAAGTTCAAATTGTTTACAAGTGCAATATAAGCTGGCGATGTGATAAAAATCTTTCTACTTTCGAATCTTTCTCTAAAACTAATTTAATAAGGATGCGTTAGCTACTAGCGAAGCGCTTTTGCGTCTTTTAGTTTATATAAGCATTAACTGAATAATGTATATTTTGTATATCTTTTATACTTCTTCATATCAGTTTACAGTTATGATTACAGATTGTGCTATTATCAATAAATAAATTATGGATGGAAATCGGTTGCTAACTAAGCTGATGAAACAGTAAACTAAACTATTTAGGTAAAAACCAGAACCAAATTTTTCTCAAATATTTGCAGGTAAATTATAAAATGTTTTTTGCAATTAAAACTTGGCAGATATCAAAATGAATAAGAAAGAAAGTTACATACCACGAATAATCTGCGATCTTAATTTAAAGGACAACATCATCGCATGCACTCACGTTATTGCATATTCACATGTGCAAAGTTTATATAAGTAGCGCGATATGCACTCGGAAATATAATTATGGTTTTCTCTCAGATGCACCGGATTAAAAAAGAAATGCGAATGGGAATGTAAATTTTTCAATAAACAATATGCTGAAAATAATTTTTTCCTACTTTCTTTCCTTTTTTGAGTGAGAGAATGAGAGAGAGAGAGAGAGAGAGAGAGAGAGGAGGGGAGGGGAGGAGTGCGCGTGCCCGCGTGTGCGTGTGTGTGTTAATCGCGAATTATATATGACCGATAATATCTTCTATTCGGCATGTTCAAAAAATTTTTCAATGCTTTAAGCACTTCTTTCTAGTTACAATTCAGTAATAAATGTTTTTAGAAAACCTTTTTCTTTTAAATAATTTATCGAGTTAGGCAATCGTTTTCCCGCGCTAAGGCAAAGTGATCCCAGAAATTTCCGAAATGCGCGTAGTCAGTTCTAACCTTGAGGCTATGATTTGCAATTGTAACAAAAGGTTAAACAGATACTGTAGTAAAGACATTTACAAGAATGCTCATGAATAAAAATTAATTTAATGTATTTAGCAAATAACTTCTTGGAGTTCCTATAAGATATAAGAAGAAAAAAGATTACGTAAAGTTTAGATTTACGCAAATCTGCGTTAATTTTTTGGAGAGCTTTGATTGTAATTGATTATACAAAATACTCATAGCTAAAGCTTATAAATATAAATATAATTATATGACAATCAAAAACATGTTTTTTATTCATAATCTAGTGCCTCATATCTTTCGGTTTTATGATTTTTACTGGAATGCAAATCTATAGACTAATACGTGTTTCGTTATCAATACAGATTTCTCGATTACACGTTCGCGATCTTCTCCTTTCCTTCTATAAAAAAAATATCATGCACCTACGCTATAAGAGAGAGGAGAGATGCGTGTGCGTCTTGTCGAAAGGCATCGTGCATCTCATACAACTTTCTCAGCTTGAGTGACGTAACTGCAACGAGAACTGCTGGTTTCGATGGCATTTCCGTGAAAGAGGGAGGAGGGAAAGATCGAGTAGAACTGGACCGGTGAAAGAGATCGCGAGAAAGGGGGATATCTGGTCATTCGGGGGCACCCCACTATCACATCGACCGATACTATCGTCGTCGTGCTTACGAGAAGCCGTGTGTTAAAATGTTTAGCACCCCACTTCTTGCAGCTATTCGGTCCCGAAGGTGGAAAGCACACCACGGGTTTACTTCAAACGTATCGCGATCGGTTGTTCAGTCCTTTGGAAACATTGGATCGCGCGGGATCAATCGCCGTGAAATTACTGTGGATCGTAGGAGGATCAGTCCTCTTATCGATTATATCGATCGGTGCGTGCTTTGGTGACATTTTATAATTCTTTTTCAAGAATATATACATATATCAGCAGAGCACGCTGATATTCTCTATCTTTTTTCTTTCTTGTATTGTCGGATCGTTAAACGAAAATTATCGACACATCCGAAGATCGTCGTGTTGTACTACTGCGACATTCTTCGTCGTGAGTTTGCGGAATCGGAAGGAAGATTGCGTGGTTACATCCCGCGTGGACGGGATGAACTAGTGAATTCCTAGAGGATGAACTAGTGAATTCCATTGCCATACGTGATACGTGAGTTAAATTCCAAAGGTAAGCTTCTCTGTTAGATCGTGGTATGTTGACTCTTTTTTTTCTACACGATATTAATGATCGCTACTTTCTTTACGCGATCCGCGAAGGTAACTTAATAGCATTATTAGTCTGTATCATTTCTTAATAGATCAACGTGTTAGTTTTTGCTGATGTCACTAACCACTATCCTCTGGAGTATTTCCGGAAGGAAAGTGTCGCATTTCATACAACGAGAGACTCTTGACTTTTCCGCTGTAATTTCACGAGCACTGTTACTTGTGCAACATTAAGAGAGAGGAGAAATGAAAATAATTCAGCCGATTTTGTTTGATATAGATTTAACAAGCACCACGATTACGATGAAGTGATTTCACTTCTTACGATTATGATACGCAAACGCAAAGACATTGGCATCAACATGTGCGAGAATTATTGCACGTGCAAGTTACACTCTCAGTGAAATATATTTATCGCTGATATAAGAACAACAGGAAATCTTCTGTAAAATATTAACTTCTCACTTCAACTTTGCTTTCACTACCAAGTTTTAGATCGAAATATATTTATCGCTGATATAAGAAATGCTTGTTTGATACGCCATGCAATTTGTTCCCGTACAGTTTTTTATCGAAATAATTTATTAATTCTTCACACATATAACTTTAGTATCTACGACGAATTAAGTCGGGGTAAAGTGAGAGAAATTGGGTTGAGAGAAGAATTCTGTCAGAAAATGCAAATACAACAGGAAATCTTCTGTAAAATATTAACTTCTCACTTCAACTTTGCTTTCACTACCAAGTTTTAGATTTCTTCTATCTTTCGCGAATAACGGTCTTGGGTCTTGGAAATAATAATCGGATAATATCGCGATACCCCATCAAATCTAATACTCTTGCAGCAAGGAAATATCTTTCTCTACCAATGCACTTGGTAGTGAAAGTATTAAAAAAGTACAAAATGTCTTACATTGTACAACTTACAGTATACAACTCTAATATATAACTTTCTTGCATTGATTCTAACAACGATTCAGTCTGTTTTAACAATCATGAAACGAGTCGAAAAGAAAAATAGGCGTAAATAGTCACAATCTTGACGTTCTCTTCTTTTCTTTTTTCAACGATTTGATTCTTTTGTATGTTATTTATGCTTGTTGTATAAATTCTATGCACGAAAGCTTCGAAATTACTGGTTTCACACACATATGGAAGTAATATGTACCCTTCCTTGATTTAATGTTATGTTGCAATACCGTGAGTTACTTTTTTTCAGTTTTTCACACGTATAGCTATTTGTTAGTAATTAAGAGCTCAAAACTGTACATTTGTTTGATTTGACATAAATTATCGTTGTATTTGATAGATTTCTTATTCTACAGCGCACTTTGTGGCGCGGGCAAATTAAATAATCAAATTACATAATTTTCTTACATAATTACATAATTTCCTTAGTTTTAATTTTTTTTATAATTTAACACTTAATTTTATACTTAAAAATAACGAAAAAATAACTTAAAAATTCTATAATTTATCACATAATACGTTATTTTTTGAGTAATTGAAATTGAGGAGACAGTTTATGTCATTATCAAACAAAACTTCATTATGCAGATTGAATATTTGTCCCGTTTGGTTATATTTCATATTTCACGCTTGCTCATGTTTGCACTAATTATCATACAGCATGCAACTTAGAGAGTTCCAGCATATTTTCCGCTTTTACTTTCACGAAGATTGTGTGCCAAAGAAATAAGATTTTTTTAAAGATCTTTTTAAATTCAGAACTTGGAGAACATATATATGTATATTTTAAGATTAAGAAGAAAGCAGATTTATTTTCGTTTGCACGATTATGGAAATTTGAGGAAAAAGCTATCTTCTTTTCCAGTTTTTTATGTATTATATAAAAAAAGAGACTGTGAAATTGTTTTCACAGTTAATTTAATGTATATTTTACCGTTATCTTCACGAGATTAACGCAACGATTGTGAAGCAATATTTTTTTACCCATAGAAATTTTAATGCAATCGCAAATTCAAACTTTCCGATTGTATCGGATTTATTTATACAGATTCGGCTATATATAATATATAATATATTCTCAATGGATAATGCGATATTGCACAATGAGATTCTAAAGTGAACATAATTTATCATATGTCTATGCGAGAGGTCGCAGGCTCGTTTCACTGTCAGTGATGTGAACCTCGTTGATAGCCGCACACACGTGGCACACAACGGACGCGATCCGCGCATGCACGCAATCGCGTGCGTGAATGTCGTTGAACATCCGTTTGCTCTATTGCACGTGAACTTTCTGTATAGTGGTATATATGCATATGTATATATATCGACGGTGAAATGGCCAACGGGAAGAAAGCGTAGCAGGAAACCAATGATATGTTGTTACGTTGGTCGACTTTACTAGTAGGACAACATAAGTGATCCTGAAAGTATGTACGCCATTGTACGCAGTTGCAAGGTTGATATCGCGAGACCGAGAACTATTCAAAAGAGATATACGAATAATTAATTTCTGTAAATCAATACAATTGAAATTAATGGAAAATGCAAATTTACCCAAGGATTATACAATGTAGCTTACGTTTATTCGAATGATGTTTTTATATAAAGAAGTTTTTGGAAAATACATTACACAGCATTGTATAATAATATATTTTTTACAGAAAGAAATTAATCATTAATTATTTTCTTTATTATCTTTTTCTTTTTCTATATTTCATTTTCTTTTCTAACTGCCATAACTTAAAAACTATGATATGTACGATCTATGTTCAAATAAAATTTTTTACTTGTATTAGTATGTACATTCCCTCTTTGAAATATTTTGCCGTGCATCTTGTATAAAAATGTATATTTATAACATATAATTTATTTATTTATTTATTTGTACAAAATTTGTAGAGAACTAGAATAGAAAAGAGACTTAGAATACTCATTATTTTACATGTCACAATCACGTGACAATATTCATATCTATTTTATAGTCTGTTTGACCCATTTAAGAAAGCCAAATGTAAAAATTATCGAAATAATAAAAATTCAACTTAAACAAAGCTAGCAGTAGTATAAATTTATGACAAAAGCGTGTTACATATCAAAGAGCTCGATTATATTTTTGACGCGCGGAGACGAATAATATTTAAATAATTAATGTCGCGGTACGTGGATACAAAGTCTTAAGAGATTGCTATTCATTACCTTTTTATGCAAATAAATAAATAAGAAAACTGGTGCAAATAAGAGCCGAGGCGTGGTAATTAATGCGCAAAACTTTTGTTGTTGTTTATCTTTGATAATAGGTATGCATTAAATATGTATTTTTGGACTGTTGTTTGGTCTATTTCTTCAGCATAGATAAAAATATATAAAAATTAAATTACTATTTTAAATTTAACATATACAATATTAGTTGTTGCAATCGCCATTAAAATCAATAATAATCGATAATCAGAGAGAAAGACTCACCAAAACCCGCGTAGAGTCTGTGCAAATTAATGGACAACGTCGAAACGCCATCGTCACATGTGTATCCGTCGGTGGTTTAAAATATAATGATGGGATGACGCAATGATGACCAATTGATACGTAAAGGTCGTAAAAACAAAAAAAAAAGGACGAATGTGATAAGTTTAAATTTTTTTTAATTTTTTGCAATTTCTCCACTATAGTCGCAAATACGTGGCTCATACTATTATGTAATTGTCAATGTATGATACGTTTCAATTTTCAGTGCAGTATTGCAATTAACATGTAAAATAATTCATCCTATTTAATAATTATGATGTAATTTATAGCAGTTTACTAACGGCGTCAAATCTGATTTGCGACACAATTTGTGATACAAATGCAATGAAAAACAACGATAAACGCAAATTTGAATTTCATAATACAGCTTGCGTTTCGTTCAAATGTGATGTGTGTGTTTTTATATAAAAAGACTATTGGAATGCGCGCACGTATTACATAAAAATGTATATTTACAATATATGTAATATATATTTTAGTTTGTACAAAAAAGAATTAAGAGAGAATGCAAATACTATTCATCTATATATGAATCTATTATATATTATCTGATCAAAATAAAATATTGTATATACAGACCCAATTAAAATTATTTATATGTAATTATAACTTATTAAGTAAGTTATAACATTTTGAAGAATTTGATTTATGTGTATGTGTAAACATTAATTTATAAGAAAATATTATATTTTGAGATTTGATATATATATTTTGAGAAATTTTATCTATTTTTTTGCCTCTCTATTTCTCTTTTTATAAAACAATTGTTTGTTTTGTATTATTTTATCTCCAAGATATTGTTAGATCGGAAAATATGTAAATATAATCTCGAATAATTAAAATTGTGTATATAAATATAATCTCGAATAATTAAAATTGTGTATATCTGAATAATTAGACAACTTCGTTGTGCAACTAATTTGATCTATCTTTTTTTTTCTCTACCAAGAACTGTGCTACTTGGCATTGCTTACATTATTTGAAACGTATAAATTTATTGCCGGCAGAATTCTTTTCAAGTCGACCAATTATTCTGGAGATAGAAAATTAGTTAGACTTCATTTAACTTTAACGTTTATAGGAATAATTGCAGCTTTTTTCTATGTTAATTATACATCATATACTAGATTGTATTAATTTTATCAATAACTTTGCAAAAATTACAAAATAATCTATAATCATCATTCTTTCCCCATATTTGTTTTAGCGCCTATGTCAAGTTCTTGCGAATATATAATTTTCCACCTTACTATTATTTTTACGATCAATGTTAATGTTTTTTTTTTTTACTGTACCGCGTCATTCGTTATGTTTCTTTTTTATCATAAAACTGCAACGTGTGAACTATTGCTAACTCCTTTCTATTCACCGCAAGTCGTAAGATTGCTACTCTATAATTTGGCAATTGCGCTGTCATGAAAATAGGGTCGGTATCGATGACATTTGCGTGTGTGTGTGTTGTGTGATAACCGTAATTGTCCTAAATAAGGTTTTCTTCGATTGTAATATCGAGGTTCTCAATTTTCAATAAGTTTTTTTAGTGGTTTTTTTTTTATCAGTAAAGGCAATTATACATGGTGAGGATAAATACTGATCTATCTGAGCGCCTCGTAAATCTTGGGAATGCACAGTGTGAGAAACATAAATGACAATAAGTCACTTGGAAGTTTTTCGATCTTATAATCTCGCAAGGCGTATTGTTGTGACATATAAAATGTATTCGAAACATTGACGATGGCCGATTTTACAGTCGTGAAATTACCAGATAACGCAATACTACATCGTATATGTTTTCATGATGGAATGC